CACGGCCTAGCCGCATTGCAGCCAGGGACCGTGGAGGTCCTGGGTGTGTTCCCTGATGACCTTGCTTGCGTTAGCGAAACTAGTGTTCATCAGCAGTGGCGCGACTTTAAGGCATGGCCCCTTCATGGGGAAGAGCGGGCTAAATGTCCCATCCCCGTTTTCTATCGAGCGTGTCAGGGACATTCCACGTTCGTTGCCTCCATTGAGAGGATGTATGCGCCTTATGACCCTGGCCTAGCCAGGTGTCATGGGCCCCTCCTCCATGTTACGGACATGGGGGCGCTGATGGGATCCATGGTCGGAGAAATTCAGTTCCCTAAGAACACATCAGGGCTTTGTCTCGAGGCTTGAGGCTTCGTCCGACCAAGCGGGATCCGATCATGCAAAGCCCAGATCATTTTTCCTCTTGGCTAAGCCAGCGTAGGGGTGGAGAGCCTGCTCCTGCGAAAGAGCACCGCGCCATGGGCCAAGACCCGAAGGCGGGAGAGCCTCCCACGATTGGGGCATGGCCCGCAGCGGACACAGTCCGTCTGTGGGACCAGCTTCCAACACACAGAGATTCCTGGCCACTAGTTTTCGTTTTCAATGGCCGTGTGCTTACCCGATTTTCGTGCCAGGTCTGCCGCGACGGGACCCTTGTGCCCCATGAAGTGCCAAGGGTCACCGACATCGACAAAGCTGTCACTCTTGCCACAGTCGACGATTGGCCAGATGTGAACCGAAAGTTGACTTCTTGGTCACTTGTCTTTAGTCAGGAGTGGACCTCATATGAGGTAAATTTTGATGTCAGTTCCATGCTTGTATGGATTCAAACTGACGAGACTGTGACATTGCGGCCAGACTTTAGACACCGGTCTGACAGGGCAGAAGCATTCATTCGATCTGTTCCTTGGGATGACGATGGTCGGTTTCTCTGTGCTGACCTGCGCTGGGTGCGGACTGGCTTCGGCCGTTGCCCTTTGTGCAGTAACCCAGTGAGGTACAAGTACATGGTTGCGCACAATAATTTGCTCCAGTCACTTAGGACGAGAACCATTGAGGACTCACTGTGGAGAAATGGCTTCAGGCTGACCGCTCCCGGTCATGACGCCTTTTCTTGGACGCACGACCGCTGTGTTAGAGAAAGAATAGAACGGCAGCGTAGAGCGTCAGCGGATGTCATGACGAACATCAACAACAATTTGAAGCAGGAGCGTGAATGGGCAGAAGGTGGATGCGTTACGACGGCTGCTTCAGGTCAAACCTTTGGCAACAGCCGCCCTGGCAGCGTTCCTGCCTGGTTCCCCGACGACGCCGCGGCCTAGCCGCCGGCGCGTCGCGGACCCTTCTTTCAGCACCTTAAACCCCTCAAGAGGCGATTCATAAAATGGATAGCACACTTTGCTGATAGACAAGGGGTTAAGGCGCCAACGATCGCTGAGTTGTGGCCCCTGCTCTGGGCCACGGATATCGATCAGTATGCGCGCCCCTTTTCTTGTCCTGCTCTGGCTGCTTTCGACTGGCCAGAGGCACACGACTCGTACATTTCACCCGACGAAGGTTGGGATGAATGGGAGCGCAGCATGCGGAGGACAGATACTTTTGTGCCGACTCTTCAGACATTGCGAGATGCAAAGACAGGGGCCGCACCCTGGCTGCCCGCCACACAGGGCACCGGCGTGGGCGCCACAGGGCCCAGCCCTCGTGGACGTCCACCGGTTGCCTGGGCGGATAGGTTTGTTGCTCGTCCTGCCCGTGAATCCAAGTCTGTATACAGGCGCAATAAAATCTGTTCTGATCACCCTCTCAGCGTTGTGAAACCTGTCGCCGGTCAAACCGAGACGGCAGGTAGCGAGGGACTCGAACCGATTCCCCTCGATTTCACCGCTGTCTGCGGGTCCCAGACCCAGCAGGTGCTAGACGGGAAGATCGATCTCGATCTGCCCGATGGACGGGTGTACCATCACCGTGTTGATGGCACATTGAGCGTCACAGTGACGAAGAATGAAGCCATCGATGTGGCTGCGCAATATGTCATGGAGCACACATGCTATAACCCAGACGCGAGCGCGACCAATAGGTTGCGCCCAGCGGGAGAATCGACACATGTTGTCCCTGACGATGTGCGACAGGCCATTGAGCGGAATTGGAAGGTTCCCGTTAAAGACCTCGAGTTGGGTCTTCGTGTCATGCGTGTGATTGTGATCGTCCGTGAGCTCATCAGTTGTTTTATTGTTGAGGGGTATTACATTGCATACCCCACGCATGGGCCCCATGCCCGCGATGCAGCTGCGGGGTATGACAATGATACGCGCCGCACTGACGTATACGCGCTTGATTGCCGCATCCGTGCGGCTGTCGAAACGGACGACCTCATTGAGGCGCGGGCCCGCGACTTGGGAAAACTGCGTCGTGCAGAGATCCGTCGCCAGGGCATGAAGTTGCAAGATGCTGTCTTCTTCTTGTACCCAGTCGTGGAATCAACTGAAATCCAAGATAGCGACGAAGGCCCCTTTCGCACTGCCTGTGGCAAACATGGTGCCTAATGTCGCTACTTCCGCGAGAGGTATTGTAAGATACGCGAAATTACAGCATGAGATACGTCCTCGTGAGGAAGGAGGCGCTGACGAGCCCTCCGACGGCCCAGCCGGTTCGGAAGGGGCTCCTGTTGCGAAAGCAAGGCCAAGCCTAGCTGCTCGCCCAGCTCCGCCTCCTCCGCCTAAAAGGCATGACGTCCAAGACGATCGGGCCAGAAACGGCATTGCTGAGTCTCCTCACTCCGCCGGCGATCAAGCCGCCACGGCGGGAGAGGAGTTCTCGAGACGTTCTTCTGACGGGGACACATGGGATCGGTCAATGTCCGCGCGCGCGCGCCGGGGTCATGGATGCCGGACGCGCTGCTGGCGACTACAACCCCGCGATCCACTACCCGAAGTACACGGCGGATGGATTGCAGGGATACTGGGTTCACCGTGACGTAATGCACTGGATGACTCGCAGAGAGAACGAGAGTCGGGTGTGGCACTTTGTGTTCCCCAACGACTACGACTACTACTTCCAGAGAGAGGAAGGCAAGGGGTGCGCCAAGAGCAATGACAATAACAATAACACCAGGGCAGCTCCCTATGCTGGCCGTGGCAAGGGAGGCAAGCCAGCTCCGCCTCATTGGACAGCTGGACAAACGGGAGGCTCATCGTCTTCGACTCCGAGACCTCCGTCTCCGCCTCCACAGTCGCGGTTCCTCTAGTACAACAAGTGAGAGCACGCGCGAGCCGCGCGACCAAGTCGCCACGGCACAGACCGAACGACCTAGTCGTTCCGGCGGAGAGGTTTTATTTAACCATTGGTGGGATTCGTCGGGTTCTCTCCGGCCCTCAGCCCCCTGGCAACCACCGTTGAGCGGTAAAATGCTTTTGGGGCTCGCTCCGGTGGCTGTAAATATGTATACAGGCCGGGCGGGCTGTGGTTGGTTGGGCTCTACGAAACCCGCCGCGGGGGGAGTAAAAATATTCCTCTCCGCCTCATTCTACACTTGCCTCTCTTGCTGCCTGCCTTGCCATACCTTGACGTTGGTATCATTGCGTACCGAAGCTGTATCTACTGCTCGAGTGAGAAAAGGAGCGCGCCGGGGGCGCGTGGGCGGCCCGCGTCGTCGCCCGTCCCTGGCCGGCCTCCTCACTTCCTATACTTGAGTACAGTTGCTTAACGGATAACCTGCAGTTTCATCGATGTCTCATCCCGTATCCTGTACCACTGAGCATAGTCAGCATGAGACCTTAATTCCTTTGGCATCTTACCCCGATTCTCCGAGGAAAGACTGAACATGCCGCTCCACCTTTCACTTCTGCGGCATGGGCCACCGCGCGTTCTGGCGTGCGAGGGCATTTGGACGACAGGAATCGGGCATCTTCCACTGGCGCCAGTTCCGTCGGAGAACATGTTGAGGGAATGGTTGCCCCCGTGGAGCGCCTTGTGGCGCGTTCCATCCCGCCGGTGGCGGAACGAACGCAAGCCTTTGCTGAATTGGTCGCGCGGCCGCCCCCGCAGGACGCGGGCGCTGCGTGGCGGCTATCCCGCCCGACGGATCCACCCCGCACCAGCGCAACGGATGGGTCGTGGCACAGGCCATGCACGAGTATGATAAGGAGCAGTCCATAGCATAGACGCTCGTGCGGCAAACGTTCGCGGAGCGTATGGGCCTGGCAGGTCTGAGCCGCCTGGGCGCAGATCGACTGGCCCCCCGACAGGCGATCGCTGTCGCGGCAGTTAACGGAATCGGTTGGGACGTTTTTTTGGGCGAGGTTGGCCAGAGGAGCGTGCTTGTAGCAATCGCCCGTTCTCTACCTTCATACATCGCTGGCGCGCGCTGCTGGGCAGCCTTCATGGACGGAAACTTCATTTTCCAGCTACAGAGAGACGCAATCAGATACATCGCAATGTTCCGACGGGCTGGCAGGCTGAAGACGCATTTCACGCATCTTCTTTGGGCCCGTCGTTTCTTGCGCTTGCGCAACGGTTGGTTCACCGACGCGGCGCGGCAAGCCCACCGAGGTAGTTCCAAGTTGGCGGATTCCCTTCGGCAGCGACTTGCGCTGCAGGCCGCCCGGGCCCGGCAGTTTGTCGCGCGCGCTGAAGAGATAGGGGGCGTCGAACAAGCGGCGCTGTACGCGGTGGACCGCCTCTGAATGTTCAGAATGCGATGTGAGCGCGTCCCCTTAGAGATAAACGGGGAACGCTCCCAGATCAGTTTCGAGGACGATTCGTCGTTCAGTTTCTTTTTGACCAGGAGAAAGTCTGCTCGTCACCCGGCGGTGGTACGGCGGGAGCGTTGTTGTAGACAGTCCAGGAGGGTGCTGTGCGCATTCCACCTCTGGCCGCTTGTCGCCTTGGCGCGACAGCAACGGCGCCAGCGAGCGTTCGCGAGAGCAGCCCAGGGCTTTCTCCAGCGAGTGCGGGCGCACGCTCGTCTGTTAGGATTCGCGGAAGCAGCCCTGCTAGGCACGCGCGCGCTCAGAAGGGGCATGGCCCGCGACATTGTTGACGCCGGCGGCGGCCTGGCCACGTTGCTCAGAGCGGGCGACTGGGCCAGTTCGGCGTTTGAGGCAGCGGCCTTGTCGCTGCTGATTGACCAGAAATTCTGATTCAGAGCAGAAGATTACCCCTCACATGCGTGACCCGTCAAGGGTCGCGTCGTCGCCGAATGCACTTGGCGACGCGGCCCCACCCTGCGCCGATCGCGACGATGGGTCGGGCAAGCGATCGCCCCACGGTGGGCGCGCAGCCTCGGCGACTTGCTTGCCCTGGCCTCGCATCACCGACCCATCGGGCGACCAGCGCGGGAATGCCGCTAGGCCGTGGGATGGGGGTGCTGGTGTTTTCCGCCGCGCGCCACGCTTGCGATGCGGGCGTTGGAAAACGCCTCGCGGAAATGGGGCGTGTTCAGGTGAATTTCTGTTCCTTCGCTTTGCTTGCAGCGTTGCCCCCGCCTATAGTTAGGCTTCATCTGGGTCTCTCTGTCATCGGTCAAGTGTCGCGTAGCATGCTTTGCGCTTGCAAGCGGCATGGCGGCAGCATCCTTCATCTCACACCCATATGTCATTGTCTGTTGCACACGTCATCATGTGGCACCCTGGGCACGGGCCCATGGGTGGAAATGGCATGTCGGGCACGGGCCCTGCAACCGAGCGCACCAGCGCCTCTTGCACCATCCGGGCACGGGTCCGAGCGCTGGGCAACGGTTCGCCCCGCCCACCCACAACCAATTGTCGTCACATAAGTTCGTACACGCGCTTTCGTGTCTTGCATATCATACGAACATTGTACAGCTGCACAGAGATGAGGAAGCACATCGATGAAACAACGATTCGGGATATGAGAGTTTGACCACCAGTGAGAGTCTGAGGCCCGCCCTCCCGCCCGCGCCTCCGCGAAGCCTCGGCGACCCGCTTGCCCTGGTCTCACATCGCTGACCCATCCCGCGACCAGCGCGGGAATTCCGCTAGGCCATGCAATGGGAGTGTGCGTGGTTTCACTATTATGATGATGGTGATGGTGATGGTGATGGTGATGGTGATGGTGATGGTGATGGTGATGGTGGTGGTGGTGGTGATGATGATGATGATGATGATGATGATGATGATGATGATGATGATGATGATGATGATGATGATGATGATGATGAGTCGAAGGACAAACGTGTGGCTGTTTGCGCGTCCCGACGGCCCCGAGGCAGATGGCATGAAGGAGGGTTTCGCTACCACCTGGTCGCCGGTGGGAAAGGACCACGAGGGGGGATGAAGGCGGATGCTTGCATTTCTGGCATGGCTCTGCGTTCTACCTGGCAGGGGTGTGTGAGGATGGCAGGGAGGAGGGAGACGGGCCACAGTTGGTGAGGCAGGGGGGAGGGCGAGGGCATGGCAGATGGCAGGGCGAAAAACGAACGCAGGGAAGGGCACAAACGGGTCGGGCTCTAAAGGGCGCTTGGCACCGAGTGCTTCTCGCCTCCGCCGGCTCCGCCCGTCCACCGCCACCGCTACCCCTCCTCCTCCTCCCATGGGTCCCTCGATGAGGGCAGAGACGCCAAAGAGAGTGCAGCATTACGAGACGCGGGACTGCGGTGGGCAGATCTGGAACAAAAGCAGCGGCCAATCCGCAACAGGCGAGCCAGTGCACAGGACTGGTGCTGATGGGAGCGAGCGTGAATATCCGTTATCGCCCAAAGTAGCGCGGTGACCACACCGTGTAGCGGGTCAGCAGGGATTCGGGGTGACCGCACGGTTTTGGGACGAGTCGTTCTCCGAGGATGTCTCGGGCGGTTGGGGGGGGCTTCCGAGATGCCTAGAAGGTGCGGTGACGGATCTTGCGGTGAGATCTTCCGGAGTTCCGAGGTCACCAGACGTTTTGCCACCACACAGTTCTGGGACACCCAACTCCTCGTCTGACCCGTTGGCCCCCCTCCCTCGGCCGAGGAGTTGCCGCCTGGGCACACGGATTACTCGTGGGAGAAGGCCGCGGCCGCCGCGGCACAATGCGCGCGCCCCTGCTGGGGCCGCCAACCACGCCTACGTCGTCTTCGTCATCGTTATGCTCCTCTCCGCCATTGTCCGCCTCATCTTGGGCACGGTTTGTCGCAGTGCCGTCCGCAGCAGGTTAATTAAGACGTTGGCCCTGCAGCTGTCTTGACACACCAGTTTTGAAAAGCAACGTGCTGATTTCAAAACATCCAGGTTGCACTCGGTGCGTTCTGGCTCTGCACGTGTTGGCCCACGTTCTGGCGACCGCATCGCGCCAGACGTGCGTTCTATACACATGTTTGACCCTGTGTCAACGCGCCACGGGTTGCGCACTTCGCATCGGAGCAGCACGTCCGCCCCGATCAGCCGCATGACGCACCCTAAGAGCGCGCGTGGATCGCCCAGAAATGATCGACACCTGGAGTTACTTGGATTGGCACTCGTGTCGGTCATGGCGCTTCCCGAGTTTCTGGACAGAAGCGGCGCGACGCGCCCCAAGGAGCGCGCGGCAGCGCCCTCGAAGCGCCCAGCAGCTGGGGACACGCTAACCACGTCGCAACTGCCAAAAGTCAACGTCCCGAACTTTTCCAAGCCTCCCGCCCCGCGGAGCGGAGCGAAACGATATCCGCTCGCAAGGCATGGCGTGTCGCGTCGCGGGGGCCGCCGCTGCGACACGCTAAGCAAAAGTGTCTGACCATAGGGGGCCTGGGGACATTCGACTCAGTGCCTCCTGCGTCACGGTGGCGGGTTTTGTCCTTCCACCGATTCTGCCATCCTGCCTGGTGTTGCACGTTTGGCATGGTGGGGGCAGTCAGTTTCCGACGCGCGCGTCCGTGCCGCGACTCGGATTCCGTGCAGCCGCTCGCCGACCACGTCGTCGACCACCCCGAATGGCCGTCCGAGGTAGCCCTATCTTTTGAAGAGTTGCTCGATCAGGTACCTGGAGCGTCTCGGCTGCAAAAAATCACGTTGCTCACGGAGGCCATGCGCACTGCCGCCACTCACCTGGACGTACCCGCGCACGCTGTTTCGGGCACGCTGAGCGCGGAGGACCGGCTGGGCACGACGATGCGCTTCCTGAGGGCCTTGAAGCGGCAATCCCCGAGTGCGGTTAGCTATTGCATCTCCCACTACCCCACCCTGCGCACGCTGGCCGACAACCCGTACGACTTCGCCGGGCCGCCCCAGGCATGTTTCAGACTTGTCCGGCAGCATGCGGTCGACCTTGCTCGCGACCGCGCGCATGCGCTCGATGAGCTTAACCAGTTGCACAGGGCGAGCTCGCGGACCTCCCAGCGGAGCAAGCTGCGCACCGCCGTCGGCGGGTTCACCGGCTGATTCACCGCCTCGCCCCCGGCCGCAGCTGCGCGACCTTCGTGGTCATGGCCATGCGACCACCGACCCTTCAGCGATGGCCTCCACATTGCGGGACCTTTGGCCGAAGGCATTGCAGTCCAGGACACCGCCGTTGCCCTTCGAACCCAATGGCTGCATGAAGAGGCAGAGCACGGCCCGCCAGATGATGCAAGACACTTCCCCTTCGTCAAGCCCTCCAGGGAGGACTTCAAGAAAACTTTGCGTTTCTCCAAGAATAGCGCGCCGGGCCCTGATGGCATTACAGGCGGCCCGGATTAGTAGGTCGACCCTGCAGATCAAGGGAACCTTCGTGTCCTGTATCTTGCGGCCCATGCTTCCTGCATTCCGCATTCCTATGGCAATGTGGTCCTCGGAAGGGTCTTGTGTCCTCTCGCGTGTCCTGTCCAATGAAGTCCGACTGTACTTTCAGGGCATGGCGCAAGCTTGGCGATTTCATTTTGTTCGACCTGACGCCTTCTCAGCCCTCACCGCCGAAGATGCGGTGGAGGCACTCGACCAGGAGTGGCGCGACTACAACTCCAGCCTCCTGGTCGTCCTACCGGAAAAAACATTCCGGCGAGACCGAGGACGGCAGTTTGGCGTACGAGACCGCCAACACCAGGCCGTTCAACATAGCGAGCGCCGGCCGCCGGCTCATTTGCAACGCTGTCCGGCTGTGCATTGAGCCGCAGATCGCCCCGGGTATCGCCGGCGAGCACCGGGGGTTCATCAAGGAACGGTCGATGTTCGCCAACGTCGTCGACGTGTAGGGCGTGATGTTACGACGTGCGTTCGTGTCCCTTGCAGCTGCCGCGGTGTTTTTCGACTTCGAGACCGCCTTCACGAGAGTCTCGCACGACTTCTTGCAAGACGTCCTGAACGCTAAAGTGGGTTCCCCTTGGATATGCACGGTCGTGGCTGGCCTTTATTGGAACAGTGCGTGCAACATCTCTCTTGCAGATCTACGCCATAACGATTTTATGCTGTCTTCTGGAGTGCGGCAGGGCTGTCCGTTCTCACCGCTGTACTTCACGTTTTGTTTTACTTTTTTTTCCTCAGACGTCCTCATTCGGCGGGCCTTGCGCACGGCTCCGCTGATCACGCTCCGGGCATGCGCGGACGACATCGCCGTCGTGCTCCCGAACGCCTTCGTCGAGGCGCGCATCCTGGATAGCATCTCCAGAGAGTGCCGCACCATCTCTGGCCTTCGGCTCCACCGCGGGAACGCCGCCCGGGCCCCCGTCGCCCTGCAGGGCGAGGCGGCCGCCCGGAGCGACTTCAACAGCAAGTCCGGACTTGAAGCGATTTCTCCATGCAGCAGCATGCTACCTACCTTGGCTTCTGCGTGGCGCTGGGCAGGGGGGGCCGCTCGTGGGCGAAGGCGGTCGCCGAATTCCAGGAGCGCGCCCTGTTGCGGCGGCGGTTCGGACGCGGCCCCTCTAACTGCGCCCTCGCCCATCGAATCTACCTCGCCCCAGCCCTCACCTTTTCTCGTGCAGCTTCTGAGCCCCCCACGTACTATGAGCGGCATTGAGCGCAACGTCTGCAAGCCACTCTTCCGAGGTTTTCGGTGCTGGACTCCCCCGCGCGTGCCTCGCAACCTCCGGGCGCTCGGCTGCCAGGCGGGGTTTCCTCCAACCTGTACGACATCGCCAATGCCGCGACATGCTGGGTTGTCCATTGGGAGAACGCGGACAGGGCGTTTTGGACGTGGCGCGCCGCCGCAGGGAATTTGAGCGCAGCGTCTCGGACAGCTCCTGTCTGCGTCGCTTAGCTCGCTGGCGGGGCTGGGTCGAGGCCAACGTCCTCGCCAACCTGGCCCGCGCCCGCGCGATACTGCAACGGGCTGCGCGGGGCAGATCCCTCGGCGCCCCCCAGCTGCTTCGGGGGAGCTCGCCGCGCGAAGCTGAGCGGGGGGACTGGCAGAAGACGACCCAACTCCATATGGGGGCCGATGAGCGGGATTTGTTTTTTCCCAAGTCCGTAGGCACATGGGCCACTTCCCGCTCCTCCTCCTACCTGGGCGCCCGGGTGGTCGTGCAATTCGGTTTCTGCGCGCTCTGGCCCGAGGCGACCCTCCCAGGGCCCGCGCAGCCGTGTTCCGCGCACTCTGCAGCGGTTGGGTTGCCAGAAGTCGATATGGCGAAGCCGGCCCTTGCCTTTTCGGATGTGGCCACCTCCAGGACCCCCTGCAACGCTGCGCGGTGTGTCCGGTCGTGGTGGAGTTTGCCAGGCGGAAACTCGGCCCCCCGTGTGCTCTGGTCGCTGATCGCCTCGACGCTTTCTCGGCGCCCCATGTTCCGCGCGGCCAGCGCGCGGCCGCGGGGCTGCTCTGCGCAGCCCCGTCGGCCAGTTGCGCCAAACGTCGCGGCGGCACCGGCAAGTCGCGCGCGAGGCGGCCGCCAGACACCTGGGACGACGACGAGCGTTGGCTGGCGCGTGGGTTCGATAGCGGGCGGCTCGGACTTCAGCGTCGCATTGTGCATGGGCGTCGTTTCTCTGCGAGGTGGGCCACTATTTGTCCGCGCGGTCGTGGGCCAATGAATGGTTGTACCACCTGTTTCGGCAGTGACTGTTTCGGCAACGGGTGGATCGGCGACCTGCGTGCATTTGCAATCGTGGCCCCCGTGGCCACCGCGGCCCTCGTTCGCCCAGTCGTGCGCGTTTTCTATTAGGCCTTCGTTCCTCGAGGCGTCCGCCGCGCGCTCTCCCCGAATCGTTGCCCCTCTTATTCCCCCTCCTCCTCCGCGCCCCCCTCGCGCCCCGCTGCCGTTTTGGCTCGGGATGATTTCGCCCAGCGGTAAAACGCGGGGACCCCTGGTCCAGGGAGAGTTCAGGACCAACTTTCCACGCCTCACCGCGCCCTCGGCGTTGGCTTCCATGTTGCTTCATAATGACGCGCCCATATACTGCCGCGGGCCACCTCTTCGTGGACGGCGAGGCGACCGGGCGTGGACCTGCCGAGGGCATGGGCGCTGGATCCCTGGGCGTAGTCTGCAGCCGAGCTCGAGGCATCGGCGCGACCAGCCCGCGCGCGCAAACATGTCGAAGAAGCCCTCGCCGCCCAAGTTCGAGCGACCGCTGCCTAATTTGAAGCCGCCGCCAAGAGCGCCGCCGAGACCGCCGGCGCGAACTCCGCGGCACCGGCCACGGAGATCGCCGCGGACCTCTCGGGGAAGAACGAGCGCGCCGAGCGAGAGGCCGTTCGTCAAGCAGCGGAAGGGCCAGGCGGAGCAATCGAACATGAAGCTCAAAGCTGCTTCGGCTTAATTGGACGCCAGCGTCGCCTCTGACGAGGCCCGCGCCCCCTTCGTCGACGGGTCGAACATCGGCGCCTGGGGCCGCGAGCCAGACCCCGTGCGTTTTGGCGCGGATGCTCGGCATGCTTAAACGAAGAAGCACTTCGCCCAGCCCTCGCAGATTGGTTCAACGCAGCAGGAGTCGACAACGCACAGATCGCTTTCAACACTGTCGGCTCCGCCAGGCGCCACTCCTTCTCCGCCGCCGGTGGCGCGGTGGGCGCCGAACATCGCGCGCGCGAGCTTCATGAGGCACGCCGCGCGGGGCAAGGCTGGAGGGAATCCTCATTTCGCGCGGGCGGCGTCGCTCACCCTCTGCACGTCAGCGAAGCCGAGGGC